ACGGCGCAGGCTCGCGTCCTCACTCCATCTATCCCCCCCTAGCCCACAGAAAAAAACCCCGAAAAGCCCGGATGCATGCCCACGAGAGGCCTTGATGCCCCCCCCTACCCAAACACCAAAACCTCCATTCGCCACGGCCAACGCGGCCGCTGCCCCCGGTGCCCGCTACTTATGCCCAACGCCGACAGAGGCAGGACTTTTAACCCCCGGATACTTCTGCTCCACCGCTCGCAAAGCAGCCATGCTTTCCACGAATGCACGCGCGACGCGCATGGCGATGTCGGCGTGCGCAGAAGCCGCGCTCTGCATGCCAGCGTGCCCGCCTGACCCGCCGGCGGCAGCAACGGCGCTGGTGACGCTGGTGACGGCGCTGTCGAGGGCGCAGGCGACGGCGGGCGCCGATGTGCTCGACACGGTCCTCATGACCCTCCAGACGGCGTGGAAGGTGGGAGCGGCTGTGTCGCTTAAGCCATCCGGGTACTTGAAGGTCCGGTACGGCAAGTGGCTCTCGATGTGAACCATGCTGCAGGCGCTGGCCATGCAATCTTCAACGGTGGGTACGGTCTTTTGAGGGTCGTTGTTGGCAGACGTGTTAGCGAGGTTGGCGGCTGCGGCAGTTATGGCGCTGGCGGCGGCTGGGGCGACGGCGGGGGGGCAGCGGGCGACGAAGAAGGCGGTCTCTTTAATCACGAGGGCCACGGCGTCGGTGGCGGTTGACACCTCGGCCGGGTGTGAGGCTACGGCGGCGGTGCTGATGGCGTTTGTGATGGCGGCCATGCACACAGTCGGGTCGGAGATATCCACCGGAGTGCAATACGGCGGCAGGTCTGTTCTGGGGGCCAGACGGTAGTAGGGAGGGCTGCCATGGCGTCTGAGACTCTGAATGTCCGGGGTGTTGATGTCCTGGCTGACGGGCTTAACACTCTGACTGGCAGAGGACCAATCCAAGAAGCGTCGACAACGGTCCCGAATTCGGTCTGGCATTTTGTCTGCGTTAGAAAGACTGCAGATTGAAAAAGTAGGGAAGGCGCTGTATCCAGGGATGAAAGGGCTTTAAATACCATAACATTTACGGCAACTCAACAGAAGCTTGCTGGCATTCCACGAACTCTAGTTATGGCGGCGCCGGCGCCGAACCTTGCGCCTTCGGGTGTTGTTAAGATCAAGGTTCCCGTGGCATGCCTGCGCTCCGGAGATGAGTTTCATCGCCTATTGAACCACTAACCTTGAAGCAAAATCTGAAGGCAAGAAGCCCGTCAAGCCCTGTTGGCAACACCGCCCTCTCTCGAGCTGCGACTGTGCAAGAGGTACCAGATGGGATTGTATCTTGAGGGACTCGGAGGTGTGACAAGTTGAATGTCGGGCCTCAGGGTCAAGTGTGTGCACGAATGCCGTGAGCAGGTAATCTGTCACTGAAAAGCCTTCAAATTCTCAATCTAGTACTCCGGGCAGGCCACCATAACGAGCGTGCGAATGAAACCAGGTCAATACCTCACTTATTTACATTTCCCAGCCATTTGATCCAACAACCTCCACATTAAATAACCCTCCAAGGCTGAGGGGGACAACTTGGAGAAGTAGGAGAGGGCCGGTAGCGATTGTAGTACTTGGTATGGCGCAAGCTAAGTCTCCCTCAAATGCCAGCGCACCCCGGCATGATTCCATTCCGTGACGCTAGGCAATCTATAATAACCATCTTTCCATTCGCCGCCTTGCTATCCTTGACACTACGTGGCTTGGGACTTGATTCTAGAGTCCTTAGTTCTATATTAGGTTCGTAGCGCCAAAAGTGAGTCCTCCTCCTACGTATGGTAGAGGAACCATTCAAGTAATATGCTCAAGTCGGACCAAGGATACTCGAGTCGCGTCATGGCAACCGCCGCGTGCTGACAAAATTACAGGTACCTTGTTGCTGCCTCATCTGCCTCCACGAGATCCAGTAGAAATGTTAGCCGGTATTCAGCAAGATTTCCGGCTAGTATCCCTGAAGTTACCCTAGCACGCATCTAAAGGAGGTGAAGCCGATGGATAGAAGGATGAAAACAACATGAGCACTCGTGATGTAACGAGAAGCGTCGTTAACTCATTAGCAGCTACTCGAAGAGACAGCAAGTCCTTGACTACTGGCCCCCTATGAAACTTCGCATTCGACCCATGATGCCGCCACCGGCCCTTGCTGTGTGACCTTCTACTTGGCTTTCGCCGTACCTAATAGCAGCTCGAGTCGCCTGTTCCACTCGAGTTTAGTAACCAGCTGTCCCAGGTAGGGATGGGGTTCTCACATATTCCTTGAGCTCGCGAATGCCAAAGTCCGTGCTGGGATTGCAGAAGAAGTACCTGGCCGAGCCAATTTCCCTCCGAATGGCAAAGGGGACAAACAAGTCCTCATCGTCTACCTGCGCTACTGGCTGTGGCCGTTCGCCTTCATCATGAGAATCGTCACGAGCCTTGATGCCGACTAGGATGATTGGCACGCCGCGACAGAAGCGGTCCAACTCAGGCACCCATTTTTCGAGAATGTTCTTTTTTGTCGCGGCTGTAGGGTCGTTGGCCCTGAAGCATAGGAGTATAACGTGGGAGTCAGGGTATGACAGCACTCGTAGCCGGTCGTACTCTTCCTGTTGTTTTACCCTAAAGTTGCCCTCACCCACCCCAGTCACCCGCTCCACCCCCCCCTAGCCACCTTGCTCAGGCGCTGCTCAGGCACTACTCAGGAGTTGATCAGGAAATGATCAGAGAAATCGCCAAACATGGTTTAGACAAGTAGGCAGTACTCTGCGGTTCGAATGGCAACTTTTCGCGAGGTCCCAGTTTTGGGACACAGGGTGGCCCAAAACTGGGACCCCCCCCCTCCTCCCAACCCATTTCGCTCTTCTTCCCTTCCCCCCCCCCACAGTCGCATAAAACCCAGTTTAAGTCCCCCATTATTTCTCCATTCCCGTCTTCCTTATTCACAAATCTCACCCTCAAATTGAGACACTCCCCAAGCGGATTGCTTCGATTTTATTCATTTGGTTGTTAAACGTCGCCACCCCATCTTAACCCAGTGGCAGTCGACTCCGAAATGGTTAAGAAAAGAACGGCAGAGGAGAGAGGGAGATATGCTGAGGAGAATGGCTTCAATGACGATAACACGGATGTTAATGATAATCCTATCCCACGCGATGTTTTGGATTATACTGTCAGAAAGAAGGGTCCCCGGTCGAGGGTTGAACCCATGACCTCTCGTCAGCCAGAGAGTGGCAGCCTGGTATAGCCAGTCTGACCATACCACTCAGCCACTGGCACGACGTAATCGTCGTTATACAACAATTCTATAAAGAGCACTTTCTCTGGCTCTGCCAGAGAGAGACACACACAGAGAACACACAGAAAAGAGAACACACAAGCAATACAATCCATTCACACCACTGCAAGTCCAAGGTGCCGTGTTTCCGACAATGAGCTCATTCGCTTAGCCTATCGGTTGACCAACCTATACAAAAGAAGAAGCACATTTAGCAGTATCTTTGGACTTGCATTCTTTTTCCAAGAAAACTATCCTTTCCAAGAAAACCATCCTTTCCAAGAAAACTATCCTTTCCAAGAAAATTATCCTTTTAATCCTTTTTAAGGAACCCATTAAGATGAATACTAATAATAACGATAAGATTACCTTTCTGGCCAGTTCTAACAACTGGGAGTCTTGGAATCTATAGTTCCAAGCCTAGGCCGTAGCTGGAGATACGTGGGCCCAGATTTAAGGCCTTACCCCTTTTCTCGTTAAATTTACGGTTCCGACCCTAGTACGGTATAAGTACAAGACCCTAAACTAATCGATTATTATAGCTAAAGGTAGTATAAAATTAGTAGTTGAAGACGACCCTAATATAGGCCCTTTTAATTAACCTACGAGTCGACTTATTGTAATTACCGACCTTATAGTAAATAGTTTCCGTATTTACTAAATAAAATAAACTATTTTTTAAGCCGAACTTAAAGAATATAATTAATAGGCCAAGGAAATTAAAAGACTAAAATAGTAGATTTTAAAGATTATTAACCTATACTATTAGTTTACCTTAACGTACATGATAAGCGAGTGTGTGACAACCCACTCTGGAAAGTGGAGTCACGTGATTTGTCATGTGATTTTAAGTGATCTGTGCGATCTGCGAACAGATCGCACAGATCACGGTCGCGCACACCAAGAAGGGTACGAGGTACCTTATCCCCCACCACCATATAGTTAGTATAAATAACCATCGTGCACCGCACCATGGAGCGTGAGGATTCCTGTTCCTCACGCAAGCAATTACATTCTATTGTGTCCCATCACTTTACAAGTCTTTGGTGACAGCAATCTGTTCAACAGAGTGTGATACCCTTTCTTGAGATACTTGCCTTCGAGAGTCAACCTTCCTCCACAACCCCAACCCTAGAGCGTTCTGCTAACAACGCTTTTTTGTTTGGCTCCCTGATGCCTTTGTGTACTCGTTGTAGCGACAAGGGTCTTGAGTGCAGGGTAACCGAGGGTTCTCGACGTTGTGGTTCTTGTGCTTCGTCAAACGCCGCTTCCTGTGACGTAGCAGGCTTGGGTCAATCGGCCTTTGACTCGCTGATCAGTCAAAAGAACAAACTCGACGAAGCTGAGGAGAAGGCTTTGTCGGAGAGCGTGGAGATTCAGGCGAGGCTCCTTCGACTGCGTAAGCAACGTCGTGCTTTGGAGGAAAGGGCTCGCAAGGCATTTGCTCGGGAGTCTCGGGACATCGCGGAGCTTGAGGCGTTGGAGCAGGCGTCCGCTTCTTCCCCTGTTCCTGATTTTTCTCTTGCTTCTTGGCTTGACTCGGAACTTCTGAGCGACATGGGTCCTATGACCGGTTCCTCCTCTGACCCCGGGTAAGCACCCTTACTTTCCTAACAGTATAAGGAAAAAATAGAGATTTGTGTACTAATGCCTTGTGTCTAGGTGTGTCGGGTCTTCATAGGTCGTCGCAACCCAGGCCACTTTCAACAATCCCGTCCCTGTGGTGCAGTGGTAGCATGTTTTGCTTTTGTGGATCGGGCAACTTGTGCATATCCTGTGCGGCAAGTTGTCTGGTTTAGTGTCGAAGAGGTCAGGGGTTCAATTCCTCCTGAGGGCACTCTTCTTTTTTGGTTTGTCAGGATTCAGGCGGTGGAAGTCCTTGACTAACTCTAGGCATGAGAGTCCTGTGTGTGGTTCCCAAGAGTTATCCGCAGGTCCATAGCCAAGCCACTTGACTAGGTACTGCAACACTCTTTTCTCAAATCGTGAATCTAGAACTTCCTCCACTTCAAACTCTTCTTTGTCTGCTTCCACTTCCAGGGTCTTTTCCAGTGGGATATTCTTTGGTACTGGTTCCAGTAGTGATATATGGAAGACTTTGGTCCTGACCCTTATGGTTTTTGGTAGGTCTAGCTTATAGTTTGTCATCACCCTTCTTCTTAATCCAGAATGGTCTACACCTTTTGAAGTCAAGCTTCCTGCTTGGTTGTTTTGTTTTAAATTTCTGGAAAACAGGTAGACATGGTTTCCCTCTTCTAGAGTTGGTCCCTCAACTCTATGTTTGTCATAATAGACCTTTATTCTTTCATGTGTATGTTTAAGTTCTTCCTTTAGAAGCTCTATAAGTTCTTGGATTCTATCTGCCCTGACTCCTGCTCTTGGTGCTTTGCAGGGTGGTCCTCTTTAGAGTTTGGGTTCTTGTCTATAGAATGCAAAGTATGGTATAGGCTAGTTATGCTGTTGATAGCTGTGACACCGGCACCACGCCTAGGTGAGAAGTAAGATGTAGTGGGGATGACAACGACAAGGTGTGTAGTCGGCTGCAAGATTAGACTGCAGAGCTGTAACGATGATCCGGACAGTGTCGGACGATCAAATCGTTCAGGGAGATGGAATGATCAAACAGGGGATAACACACAATGCCTTCGCAGTTGCAAGTCAATTGAAGAAGAGGGTGGTCGCTTGTCGCCGGTCGCATCCAAACCACCACAGAGCTCCTCGCAGCAATCAGGGACAGGATCACCAAGTGCAGTGCATGAGACCAAACCAATTGTATTTTAGAAGGATAGACCTGAAGAGTGGCGAAAGCGGGGTGGTAACACCCCGCCCGCACAACGATAGTTTGATAGCCCAGCAGTAGAGGGACCGCTTGCCCTTATGGGCGGAGCTTACAGCTCCTACGGTGTAAGACAAATAATAATAATAGCTAGATCTAAAGCCCTGGAAATATTAGTTTAAATCTGAGGGGGTGTATTAGAAAGAAGGGTCCCAGTCGAGGGTTAAACCCATAACCTCTTATTAGCCAGAGAGTAGTAGCCTGGTATAGCCAGTCTGACTATACCACTTAGCCACTGGCACGACGTAATCGTTGTTATATAATAAGTCTATAAAGAGCACTCTCTCTGGCTCTGCTAGAGAGAGATACAGAGAATAGAGAACATAGAATACAGAAACAATACAATCCATTCACACCAGTGCAGTCCAAGGTGCCGTGTTTCCGACAGGGTACCCTACCGCATGCCCAATTAGCCCCGACTTACGTCTATATCGCCGAACTTTGGCGTCGCGCACATAATCGCGCACATTACCCCATCACCCCGTGTTCTCGGTGGCTTTCCCGCTTGCTTCGAGAACTATCCCAGGCCGGGTGCAAGTGTTAAAGTCAACGACCCAAACCATGACGTCCCGCTTCATCGTCTCGCGTCCGACGGATGCCGATGCGGCACGGATTGCCGAAACTCACGTCACTGCCATAGATTCAAACCCTGCTACAGTAAGTAGCCTTGGTTTCTCTTTTCCATCGAGAAAATGTCAATTCCGTAGCGACCTGTACTGTGTCCTACCTCTCGACTTAAGGCTAACCGCTAGTTTGGCAGGAATAAGCTTTGTTTATACAAATTCCAGTTTCCGGAAGCGGGGCGCGGGCTCGTTGCTCACGCAAACCGTACTCGACATGACCGACACCGACAACTTACCGGTCTACCTCAAGAGCACCAAGAACACAGTTCCAATATACGTAATGTTTAGCTTTATAGCGATTAACAGTTTCGAGATGGAGATTCCCATAGTCGCTATTTGCAATGTCAAATCCTTGGACGCGGCTTTAGGAGGCCGTGGACCACGCGGTCCCAGAGGCGGCCGCGGTGGCCAAGATGAGTCGCCTAGTCGAGGAGGGGCCGCTGGTGGGCAGCACGAGAACCGGGGTGGGTTTCATAGAGAGCCTAGTGGTCAAGTAAGAGGGGGAGGGCGGGGAGAAAGAGACTTTGAACCGTACCAGGGTGGACTTGGCGGAGGCAAACGAGGAAGAGGAGGAGGAAGAGGAGAAGTAGGCTTCGTTGACCGGTAGCAAGGCGGACGCGGTGGGACGTAAGCAACTCAAACTCAAAATGAAAACCCCTCGTCTGGCTCGCCACCCTTACCATCGTTGCCCTTGCCGCTCCCGCAGACTTGAGCCTCACCGGCACCTTGGCCTCCGACGCCGTTCTCCACGGACATTGTACGCGCCGTGCAGGTCATCACCAACGACCTGGACCTTCGAAAGGCCATTGGCTTGGCCAAGAACGCGCTGCAGCTGGTCGCCGACTCCTATCGACACGTTGTCAACACGCTGGCAAGCGGCACGCCACAAGACAAGATCATAATGCTCTGCGGCATCACTGGCGTCCGGACCGAGAATGTCATCACTATCGGCACCATTATCGCCAAGCTCAATGGCTGGGTCGAGCAGAGGGAGAAGGAAATGGTCCCGGATCATGGTGACCCGGTGCGGGATGCCAGCGGCAGAGGCCAGTGGCGGCGGCGGGCACTGCAGCATGAGCCTCTTCTCCCGATTGCGGCGGTGCAAGACTGGCAAGAGGAAGAAGGAGGCCCATCGACTCCAGCCGTGGAGGCACCAGAACTAATTCCGGCCACGTTCAAATGGCTGATCCAGCTCCAATTACGGTTACGCTCGGAGAAGAACAAATGATTGACACTGCTCCAACCCCAGCTCCTGTCAGAGACAAACAAGTGGCTGATCCTGCCTCCGAGGTTCGACTTCTAGTACAAGACGGCGATGAAGCGGCCGACATGCTCTTCCCTGACGGAACCGGAGTTGGCAGGGCCGTCATCATAGGTGTCAGTGAGCCTCTCCCGATACAGGGCCTTGCATTTGAGGTTACCTTGCCCGTCATCATGCCTGCGGAGATGGATACTACCCCTGCGGCCTTGGATCAGCAGGTGGTTGAAACCGCCCCAGAAGTCGTGGTATCACCTAGGATGGAAGTAGAGACAGCAGCAGAGGACGTGGAAGATGAGCTCCCCGAAGCAGAGCAAGAGAAGGCAGAGGAAGAAATGGCAGAATTCGGGCCAGTAGGAGAAGAAGCACCAGGAACAATGACACCAGAACCGACAGAAACCCCACCAATCGCCGTCATACAACCACCGCCAATTCCGACAAAGGAAACGGTACGAGCCTTTGTCAGCGAGGCAGGGAGTCTTGCGCTCCTCGAAGCGATGCGGAAGGGCGGATGGTCGGTTGCCGACAGGTGGGAGGGCGTCACGGGGGTGTTTGCCGCAACAGACCCGACTGTGGTGCAGGGGTTGATGATCGAAGCGGGATGGATGTGTCCGAGATACACGTATCTGGGCTCTGACTTGGAATACACTTGTGGACTGACGGTTTCGTTGTCTTTTCGTGGGAAAGACTCGTGTGGGTTGGGAACGGCTTGGGTTCGAAGTTTTTGAGGTTACTACATGCGGCATACAACAGCAATGCTGGTATGTTTTACACCAAAGCTAGAATATACATGTTTGTACGTGATCTTGAGCCCACCCCATAGTAAGAAGTACGGGAAAAATGGAGAAATGTCCTTGATTCCAGTCCGCTCTTAATTTCACGCATAGCGTATCTCATGACTCTCACAAAGAATGATTCCCCGGTCACATACGAGGAAGTATTTCGACCTAGGAGGGCGGGGTGTTCAGACAAAGTAGCGATTGGTGAATGCGCGATGGGAGTTTGGTCAATGGTGTGGCCCTCTCAAATACACTTCTCCTGAACTAAGTTTCTGATGCTTCGCGTTGCGTAGTGCGTCAATGGTAGCAACATAGCATCTTCTTCCAGAATGGCTTCGGCTTTGGCAGCAAAACATAACTAGCCCCACCTGTGATCTTCCCATTTGTGACGCTGGACGTCACGTCGTTCCCGCCAATGACAAGTGCCTCTGTCCTCACCTTGCTAGATGTCTGCCCATCTGAGTTCCCTGCCAGGGCGGCGTTGTCCGCCGGTCCATGCGCTGGCACCGACGCAAGAGCGGCCACAGGGTTATTCGGCTCGTCCACCGGACGAGCAAGGGGACTTGCATGAACTGGCCTGAGTTGGATCAGTGCTGCAAAGGACGGTAGTCGTGGGTCGAGGCCTTCAGGGTCCCGGACAATGGGGCCGGTGCGAGGTGCGGGTACGCCTATACTTCCGGCCCTTATTATGTTGGAGGGAGCGATGTTGAGCCCAGTGTCTGCCTCAAATTGGTCCGGGTCGACAATGTAGATCCGAACCGTCTGGAACGGATACTCTTCCCAGCGCTCCGGCGTATCATCCTTGACGATCGTCTGCTTGACCAGGCCGCCGGTGCCAATCGTCATCTCGTGCTCGGGGTGGGCGCGACGAAGTGGTTCGTGACCGTCAGATAGAGATCTTGGTGCGGGCTTGGGAGCGGACGGCCATGTGTCGGATGCGACATCTTGCTCGGGGCCCTGCTCAAAACTGACTGTCTCCGCCGGGGGGAGCACAGGCCCGCCATCGAGGTCGACATCATTCTTCTTCCTTTTCTTGTTCTTTTTGCTATTTTTGGAAGGCATTGCCCACACATCCTCTGCGGCAGCCTCTTCAGTAGGGACGCTTTCCACAGTCTCCACCGGGACCGGCTCGGTAGCTTCAGCCGTTATAGTATCAGCGGTATTGGGACCTTCATCGGGTGTCTCCGAGGGCATTAGTACCGCAGATTCCTCTATACAAGACGTAGCCACATCACTGCAAGGCTCGCTGTCAACGACGCGGCTCTTCTTCTTTTTCTTGTCCTTTTTTCTTTTTTTGGAAGACATTGTCCACAAATCCTCAGACTGCTGCAGAACCTCTTC